ATTCCTGGAGGCCTGGTATTTCAACGTTGAATTGGGCCCGATATGCAAACCACTGAAAAACAGAACCGGAAGTGATACCAACTACCCCAGCAAACCGAGGCATATAAAAACAAGCGGGACAGACGCTTCACCAGAGGCACACTGATGATGTTACCTCGTAGGGCAACCAAACATCTGCAACCAAACACACCAGCTCAGCGAGCAACTCTACACCTCATCCACAACCTGAGCTACAAATCTTCTCAAAACTTTTAAAAAAGGTTTCCTCACATGAGATCTAAACCTCCTGCCCCTTTACCATAAATCTATGCCCCTGATCACTGATCCCTCCATCAAGGGGAGAAGTTTCTTCCTCTTTACGCTGTCTATGCCCCTGATAATTTAATACATCTCAATCATGTCCCTCTCAGTCTCCTCTGCTTCAAGAAAACTAATGTCTGTCTGTCCAATCTCTCTTCATAACTCAAACTCTCCAGCTCAGGCAACACAATGAAAAAGGTTCAGGTAAAGAGTGTTTTAATTGTGCTTCTCAAATGGGTATTTACTTACCGCTGTCAGGGAAATGGAGTGCACAATCACCCCCTTTGCTTCTCAAATATCTGATCAAATCTGCCTTTAAAATATTCAAAGCCTCTGCTTCCACTGCATTTTAAGAAAGAGAGTTCCAAAGACTCATGACCCAAAAAAGTTCCTGCTTATCTTTGCATTTAATGGGCGACTCCTTTTTCCCTAGAACAGTAACCAGAGTTCAGGATTCTCCTACAAACAGAAACATCCTTCCTATTTCCACCGTGTCAAAATCCCGCTAGATCTGTTCGGAGGCTAGTTGCAGCATGTTTTCAGATTCACAGTGAGATGTGAGTCACAGGGACCTTTGTAGATGTTAAAAAGAGTTATTTTTCCCGAAACAAAATAAAAGCTTTAGTAGCACGTGCTTCAAGGGAAATGAGTTTTAATCGTGTGCATGAATTATTCAGATTATAAGTAATTTGTGTCATGCTCCTGTCATTTCAATTGGTCAAACATCAATGAAACTCAAGAACGTTACTGTACAGTTTTCCCATTTGGTTCAGTAAGTGTGTATTATGGTTGTTTTACTAAAGGTCTAATAATGTGTGTATTTCCTCCGATAAATGGGTGTTTGGTGATTAATAGATGCATCCATTTGATGAACATTTTTAAGTTACGACCATCATTCAAACATAGGCAGATATTGGACTATTGGGGACAGACAGACATGCTCTCTCAAGGCAACAAGTTCCGACTGGGATTAATCTTCCAATATATTTTACCTGGACTCTACTCAATATTATTGCTGTCATACAACTTTCACCAGCACACACAATATTCAACAACTGCCTGGGCTTCTAACACAAAAGGAGATTAATCCTCTTGTTGAGTGTTATTTTTAGCACATTAATAATGGTGATTAGTAATGATCGTATCGAAATAGAACACACAGGAAACTGATGGACTGTGTTCAGCAGCTAGGCCTCTGTCCTCACTGCAGGCACCTCCCAGGCCATTTTCTGACCATTTTCAGCCAAGTAGGGGGGAGGTGGGTTTTGTGCTTCTTCTTCCAAAAGGACACAGAGTTATCGAGGTGTGTGATCAGCAGCATTTTGGAGGAAGCTGGCTTGGCAACATTACGGTGGTTGAACAGAATGAAGATGAGCAAATACATTTGCATCGATCTACACTGTGAAGCCCACAGTCAATGCTGCCATCACAGTCCTTTTTGTCACCTAGCACTGAGCTCTGAGACAGGAGAAAGCAGGAGAGTCCTGGACAAACTGTGATCACTGGCCATACTGACAAAAGCGGTCAGGTCTGTCGAGATGAGTGAAGTGAAGCTTACTGCCTGGGATGTCTGACTTCCAGCCCTCACGTACACACTTGTTCTTCCTCACAGGCCCTCGCCTCTTCCTGCTTTCAGTATCAGCAGCTCCTAATCACGACTACAGCATGTACCTATACCCACTTAATTCACACAGCATTTGCAACTTCAGTAAAGGTCAATCCCAGCAAGATCCTTCCACTGAGCAAACTTACCAGAGTCATTTATACAGCACCAGCTACCTCCTGGGCAATGACCACTACCTGACCATCAGCAATTAGTTGCTCATTCAGCGCTTAATTTAGACAGACAGGGTCGCTATGCAGATCCAACACCATCCCACTTCACATGAATCCAGATCCAGAACTGGCGGGTCAGATCTCAAACAACGATGAGACGGTGTACAGGATAGAGATGGACAGCTTGGTGGCATGATGTAAAGACAAAAATCTCTCCCTCAACGTCAGCAAAATGAAGGAGCTGGTCATCGACTTCAGGAAGCGAAGTGGAGGGCACACACCTATCTGTATCAATAGTGCTGAGGTAGAGATGGTCAGGAGCTTGACATTCCCAGGGGTAAATATCACCAACAAGAGACCCGATCAAGTGTTTCCCAGAACTTTGTGGGAAACTAGAGAAATGATTGCTCGGCCTCTTGTTGAGATATTTGAGTCATTGACAGCCACGGGTGAAGGGCCGGCAGACTGGAGGTTGGCTAATGTGGTGCCATTATTTAAGAAAGGCTGTGAGGAAAAGCCAGGGAACTATAGACCATTGAGCCTTCCATCAATGGTGGGTATGTTGTGAGAGGGGATTTTGAGGGACATGATTTACGTGCATTTGTAAAGGCAAGGACTGATTAGGGATTGTTACCATGGCTTTCTGTGTGGGGCAGAGCGGTGGACATTGTCTATATGGACTTCATAAATGTTCAACAAGGTTCTGCATGGTAGACTAGTTAGTAAGGTTAGATCACATGGGATCCAGGGACTGCTAGCCGATTGGATGCAAAGTTGGCTTGAAGGTAGGAGACAGAGGCTGGTGGTACAGGATTGCTTTTCAGACTGGAAGCCTGTGACCAGCAGTTTGCCACAAAGGTCGGTGCTGGGTCCACTGCTTTTCATCATTCATGCAAATGATTTGGATGTGAATACAGAAGGCATGGTTAGTAAGTTTGCAGATGACACCAACATTGGAGGTGTAGTGTACAGCAAAGAAAGCTACCTCAGAATACGGTGGAACCTTGGTCAGATGGGCCAGATGGAGTTTAATTTAGATAAATGTGAGGTGCTGCATTTTGGAAAGGCAAACCAGGGGAGGACTTATACACTTAATGGTAAGGTCCTGGGGAGCGTTACTGAACAAAGAGACCTTGGAGTGCAGGTTCATAGTTCCTTAAAAGTAGAGTCACAAGTAGACAGGATAGAGAAGAAGGCGTTTAGTATTCTTGCCTTTATTGGTCAGTGCATTGAATGTAGGAGTTGGGAGGTCATGTTGCAGCTGTACAGGACATTGGTTAGGCCACTTTTGGAATACTGCGTTCAATTCTGGTCTCCCTGCTAAAGGAAGGATGTTGTGAATCTTGAAAGGGTTCAGAAAAGATTTGCAAGGATATTGGCAGGGTTGGTGGGTTTGAGCTATAGGGAGAGGTAGACAGGGTGAATAGCCAAGGCCTTTTCCCCAAGGTAGCACTGTCCAAGACTACAGGGCTTAGGTTTAAGGTGACACGGGAAAGATTTAAAAGGGACCTAAGGGGCAACATTTTCATGCAGAGGGTGGTGCATGTATAGAATGAGCTGCCAGAGGAAGTGGTAGAGGCTGGTACAATTACAACATTTAAAAGGCATCTGGAAGGGTTTAGAAAAATATGGCCAAATGCTGGCAAATGGGACTAGATATATTTAGGATATTTGGTTGACATGGATGAATTGGACTGAAGGGTCTGTTTCCATGCTGTATATCTCTGTGACTCTATGACTGCCTCACAAGGCACACCTCAGAAGATTGAAGTGCAGTATCTTCAATCTTGTTTCGGACTGAAACAAGACTGTACAGGAAATGATTGTAGTCTACGTAAGCTAGCAAAATTTCAACTCAGTAAAACATAGAATTAAAAATAAGCAAGCTGAATAGTAACCACTGTCAATGGTCATAACATTCCATCTGGTTCACTAATGTCCATTAGAGAAGGAGATCTGCCATCTTTTCCTAAGTCTTGCCACATGGTGGCTCAGTGGTCAGCACTACTGCCTGACAGCACTAGGGATCTGGGTTCAATTCCACCCCGGGTGACTGTCTGTATTTTCTCCCACAGTCCAAAGATGTGCAGGGTAGGTGGATTGGCTGTGTTAAATTGCCTGTAGTGCCCAGGGATGTTTAGGTTAGGTGGGTTAGACATGGGGAAATGCAGGGATAGGGGAATGAGTCTGGGTGGGGTGCTCTTTGGAGGGGCGGTGTGGACTTGTTGGGCCAAATGGCCTGTTGCCATGCTGTAGGGATTCTGTGATGTAACTCCAGACCCACTGTAATGTTTACCCTTAACCTCCCTTTGAAATGGCCCTGAAGAGCCAAACAGGCACGCAAGATTAAAAACAATGTTTAGGCACAATTTTTTCATGATCACACTCAATCCTCTTCCTTTTCACTCCTGGGATTTTGTCAGAGATTGTGGTGGGTGATTGGGGCTCTAGGATTGGGCTCATTAGCCACACAAGGACACAGTCAACCAGTGACATCGCAGGGCTTAAACCCATATTCCAACAGCAATAGTCTGGATTTCTGGATTATTAGTCAAATTATGTTTCCAAGACACCACGGCCTCCCTGCAGTGAGGGACACTGCAGAAATACTCAATATTGTAACATAATAGATTAATCCTGATTCAAATGCCAGAAAGATGTGCTGGATTGTATTGCTAAGGATCTATAAAATAAATTCCAGCTTTGATATTCTCGTAAACAATAATCAAACTGAAGGGTTCAGGTGGTTTTATAAATCATGACAGCGACACTCATGAAGTTACAATCGTAGTATTACATTGCAGCTTTCACAGGAGTCATACTCCTGTGAAAGCTGCTTTTTAAACTGTGTTCAGTTCTCAGTAAATTTCTGTGCCTCCAGCTACTTTCACAACAAATATCATTTAACGGGCAGTAATACTCACAGTAAAAGATTAATTGTCTGATGATCATTATTGGAAACCAGCTGAGGAATAAACTTCTGCAATCTATTCCCAGAAATTCTACAAATAGATCAAACCGATGATTAATCGCTTTAAGTCTGCAAATAAAACATCCAGCACTAAATGGCACCTTCACATAGTGCTGCACACAGGGACAACACCATATTCTAATAGATGTTCAGCCTTGCAACTGCAAACCTAGGACAGACTGCTCTCCACAGCAGTGACGGCCACTTGTGTATCTTTACTGGTTAACCTGCAAATAACATATCTCCAAAAGAGTGAATCCCAACTAGAAGGGCTTAGATGGCTGGGTTGGTGGTGGTGCTGGGAGAATGCAAAGGAATAAATATCGGAAAAAGGTTTCTGGAGGCTTTTGATAGTAGCAACACAGAAAAAAAACGAGAGAAAGTCATCTAAAGAGTTCAGGAGGAGAGCAAGACTCACCACCAACAGGGGAAGCAAAGAACAAGCAGTAAGGTAACGTCAGAGAAGCAGAACTTTCATGCAGAGAATCTTCTGACCCCAATTCCCGCAAGCACTCCACTGCAACTGAAATAACTCCACAGAGACCGGTATCCCACCAGCAAGTCACACTGTGTTTACACATGCACAGTACACAGTCTCTGACCAGCTAGCTCAGAGCCAGTCCCTGGAATGAGGAAACTGAGACTCATGTTCATTTACTTTTTTCTGTTCCTTTTTGGGCTACACACAGCAGTAGTGCTTATTTGTCCCCACAACACACGTTGAGTGTGTGTGTAAGTGCAGGGACTCAGCGAATACACCATTGTGCCATTAATTTCATTCAATTTTTCCACCACCAGAGAAACACCCTTGTGGCCAGAAAACCAGTAACAAGCAAAACCCAATAGGGGTAATGCTTACGTGAGACGCCTGTTTCTATCTGTCAACCAGGGCTCCCTGATTGGTCCAGGTTAACAGCCACAAACAAGGAACCCACACTCAATGAGATCCACCTCGTTCCAATCGCTACAGCAGCCAACTGGAGAAGGAAGCTGAGGCAGGGTCACACAAGATGACGTGGCAGAAGAAAGGAAACGCAAGTGAACAGGGCTGACGATAGCCTAGGGAGAGCCATTAACCTCGTAGTATTGGTTTTAATCATTTCTAATATTATGTATAAATAAATTATTTTATTTCAATAATTACATCCCACACAGTCTGTTAATAGATAAAAGAGAGATACATCATACTTTTAAAACTAGCCACAACCCAACTATATTTTATTTGTCAAAATACTTCAGGCCTGCCATTTGAACATGTTCAGTTGGGACCAGTTTTAGTTTGGAATTATGGTCTGCATGGACTGGTTGGACCGAAGGGTCTGTTTCTGTGCTGTATGACTCTATGTGACAGAGATAGATAAGTTCTTGATTAGTAAGGGGATCAAAGGTTAGAGGGAGTAGGCAGGAGAATACAATTGAGAAATATATCAGCCATGATCGAATGATGCAGCAGATTTGATGGACCAAATGACCTAATTCTGTTCCTATATCTGTTGGTCTTATGAACAAAGGGGGAGGCCTCTGTAATTTTTTTTTCCCCTATAAGTGGCCCAGATGATGAACATCGCAATCAAACTTGACTGAGATTAACGTTGCATAAATTAACATAGATCATGCTGCACCTGAAAGACAAAGTCAAGGTAGAAAATGCGAAAAGAAATAATAATAGTGAAATATTGAACATCGAAAAACATTACTGAATTGGAAGAGAAAAGGACAAATAGGAGAAGACAGAATTCATAGAATCCCACAGTGTGGAAGCGGGCCATTCAGCCCATCGAGTCCACACCAACCCTCTGAAAAGCATCCCACCCAGACTCAACCCCTACCCCTGTAATTCCTACAGCTAGCCCACCTAACCTGCACATCCCTGGACACTAGGGGCAATTTAGCATTGCCAATCAACCTAACCTGCACATCTTTGGACTGTGGGAGGAAACCCATGCAGACACAGGTCTGGCAGCATCTGAGTTAGCAGAGCATCTTTAACAAAAGTTAAATTTTCAAATCCGATATGATTCCTCTTCAGAACTGAACATAACTTCTCTAAGAACTGAAGAAAAGTCATAACAGGACTTGTAATGCTAACTCTATCTCTCTCTCCACAGATGCCACCACACCCACACTTCCTGTTCAGATTTCAGAATGCCAACATCTGCAATATTTCACTTTTATTTGAGTGCATTCATAGAATCCCTACAGTATGGAAACAAGCCATTTGGCCCAACAAGTCCACACTGACTCTCCAAAGACCATCCCACCCAGACCCAGTACCCTACCTTATCGTTGTAACCCTGCATCTCCCATCGCTAATCCAACTAACCTACATAATCCTTGGACACTATGGGAAATTTAGCATGGCCAATCCACCTAACCTTCACATTTTTGGACTGTGGGAGGAAACCGAAGCACCTGAAGGTAACCCACGCAGACACGGGGAGAATGTGCAAACTCCACACAGATAGTCAACCGAGGCTGGAATTGAACCTGGGGCCTTGACGCTGTGAGGCGCCATGCCATCTGATTAAGAGGATCTATTTCAATATCTTCCAAACTCACTTGTTAATGAGTTGCTGGTTGGCACTGAAAACAAGTTTAAATAATCAATCGAAAAACCTGGCAGATTACAGAAAAGTCACCATAGTCCCACTCTCTCATTAGAGAGATGTGCCTGGTGGTGGTTTAACCTGAGGGTCACCACACCTCAGGCAAGGGGAGAGGTTGATAAGGAGGGACCTTCACGGTAACCTCAGTTGGCACAGGAATTGAACTCATGCTGCTGGCATCACTCTGCATTGTACACCAGCTGTCCAGCCAACTGAGCTAACCAACTCCTGGATTACAGTATGAGTTACTGTATCCAATTATCACCAGTGACCCAGCGGGTAGCACTTCCACTAAAAGACATCATCGGTCAAGTTCCAATCTAATCTGACATCTCGCTGCAGTTCCGCAGGATCGTCGCTGTCAGGAATAAAGCAATTTTTTTCACTTGTTCATGGGCTGTGGGCATTTATTGCCTATCCTTAATTGTTCAAAGAACAGTTAAGAGTCAACCACATTGCTGTGGGTCAGACATGCATCTAGACAAGGATAGCAGATTTCCTTCCCTAAAGGACATCATTAAACCTGATAGATTTTTACAACAATCAACATGGTCACCATTAGATGAGCTTTTGTTAATCAAAGATTTATACTGAATTCATATTTCACCATCTGTCGTGTTGGGATGTGAACCCGTAGCCCCAGGACAATAGCCAGTGTCTCTAGGTTAACGATATTGCCGCTACATCTCTGACTCCCAATTATGTGAGAGTTTAAACCAAGACACTGCATGCCCTCTCAGGTGAGCATAAAAGATCTTTGACATTATTTCAAAGTCCAATGGGTGAGATTTCCCTGTTGCCCTGGACAATGTTCAGCCTTCAATCAACAACACAAACACATCAAATTGCTGCTTGTGGGATCATGCCATGTGCAAATTGACTGACGTGCTTTCGACACCACATCTATGTCTACACTCCATATAAACATGAATTAGAAGCACAATTGGACCATTCAGCCCCTCTTGAGCCTCCTCCATCATTTAATGAAGTCAGAAGTCACACAACAACAGGTTTATTTGAAATTACGAGCTTTAGGAGCACTGCTCCTTCGCCAGGTGAAGTAGATGGAAGCGCTTCCGAAAGCTAGTGATTTCAAGTAAACCTGTTGGACTATAACCTGATGTCACATGACTTCTGACCTTGTCCACCCCAGTCCAACACTGGCACCTCCACACTATTTAATGAAATCATGGCTGGTTTGATAACAGCCTTATCTCCACACTCCTACCTAACCCAAAACCCTTGACTAACAGACCCAGACCCAGGAGCCATGTTCCTATCTCTTAACTGCCCAAAAAAAGCCACTTGTGTTTCAAGAGCAACAAATATCCGTCTAGCTAGCAGCCCACCCAGTGAGTGATTTCGGTTTTAAAAGTTCAAGGATTCCAATGATTTGACTTTCCAACAACACACCTACCTTTTATTGGTTAGACCATAAGCAATAGGGACAGTAGGCCATTCAGCCCCTCGAGCCTGCTATGCCATGCAATAGTACCATGGCTGATCTGACATTCCTCACATTCATCTTCCTGCGCTTTCCGCATAACCCTTGATTCCCCGACTGATCAAGGATTCATCAATCTATCTCAGACTTAAATATACATGACTCTGCCCCCACAGCTCTCTGCGGCTAGCGGTTCCAAAGACTCACAACCCTCTAAGAGGCCACATTCCTCACCTCAGCCTTAAATTGGTGCACCTTTATTCTGAGACTATGACCCCTGATCCTGGACTCTCCCATGAAGGGAAACATCCTCTCAGCATTTACCCTGTCAAGCCCCTTAAGGATTCTACATGTTTCAAAGAGATCACCTCTCATTCTTCTAAACTCCAGTGAGTAGAGTTGTAATCTCTTTAGCCTTTGCTCATAAGACAATTCCTCCCTACCAGGGATCATCTTAGTGAACTTTCTATGAACTGCCTCCAAAGAAATATGTTTCCTTAAATAAGGGGACCAAAACTGCTCTCAGTACTGCAGAGGAGCAGGAAAGCTGACGTTTCGAAATCTTCTGAAGGGTCTCGACCCGAAACGTCATCTTTGCTGCTCCTCTGACGCTGCTTGGCCTGCAATGTTCATCCAGCTCTGCACCTTGTTATCTCAGATTCTCCAGCATCTGCAGTTCCTGCTATCTCAGTACTACAGATATGGTCTGTCCAGCATGTTGTACAGTTACAGTAAGACTTCCCTACTCTCATAGTCCAACCTTTTTGAAATAAGTTCCAACATTCCACTGGCCTTCCTGATTACCTGCAGCACCCCTGCGCTAGCTTTCTGTGTTTTGTGCACAAGTTCCCCCAAGTCCCTTGGAGTTGTAGCTTTTAGTAAACTGCTTGAGGAGGTATAGTGAAACTTGCCTCAAAGCCAAGCTCTGTAACATACTAACCCTCAGAAATAAAGGGGAGATGTCCAATTTGCTTATTTTCTTTTAAAAAAAACATATCTTCTGTCATCTTCCACGTTTGCTTAACATATTGGAAACAAATTTCCGGCCAAAGAAAATCGACAGTGATCTTAAAACACAGTTGCTTCCCCTGTCAAGGCAAACATCTCTCAGCGAGCTGGCGGTCCCTGATGCCGTGTGACCTTACTGAGTGTTTACAGAAATAAAATCAAACAAATTAAAAGCATTGCAAAGCGACCTTTCAGGGGGGTGTCCGCTCACTTGGAGCCGGACATCTCCTGTTAAAGGGTTCTTTCTCTTCAGTAAACCTTTGCAGAAATGGTTTGGATAAACTACCAACTGATCGCCCCCTTTTTTGGGGTCTGGCTACTGTTATAAACCTCGCCCCAGAATGTCAGCAGATCAATGAAGATTTACTCACCAACTCCCAAAGGCATCTTAATCACCGAGATTGCAGTTGAAAAGGAATAACAGGCTTTATAAAAAAAAAAGGCTGGTTTTCAGCTCCGAAGGATCCCTGCTCGCACACACTGAAGGGTTTTGCTGCTAATTAGCCTGCGCCCACACTTAGTCAATTTTTTTTTAAGACGTGCTTTACTCATAAAACATGATGTCGAAATGCTATCTCGGAAGTGGCTGTCACTGGTGTGTTAACCCTTGCCTTACCGCCTGTTTAAAAAAGCACACACAATGTGTGTTGTGGAGGAAGAGAGGTGGTGTTGGGGGGAACAGAGGGCCACTTGGATAGAGAGATCAATGTTCCTCAGCTAGGGAGACCCTTCCTGAGGACAAATTGCAGCAGAGAGTCTGAAAGAGGGGTTTGAGAGCAGAGGGCGGGGTACTGAACCTCACAGCCCCAGGGCTAAGGCTAAGGGGGCAAAGGTGACTTATGCCCACGGGTGTTTTTCTACCTCTAGCCACCGGTATGTATTCCAGAAACAATAGTGAGACACCCCCCAATGAGACATTAGTCTTTTTCTGGTCGCCAGACATACAGACATTAAGAGCTGGCGTTGGCCATTCGGCCCTTTCAGACATTCAACACGATCATAGCTCATCGTCTTATCTCAACTGTACACGCCCAGTACACGCCTCATAATCCACTCGCTCCCCCTCTCATCGTCCCTCTCTCCCCCAGGATCCCTCTCTCACCCTACACCCTGCTCGTTCTCTCTTTCCATGCTCTCGGGGAGGCGATGGCTTGGTGGCATTATCACTGAGACTGTTCATCCAGAGACACAGATAACATTCTGGGGACCTGGGTTCGAATCTGAAATTTGAATTCAATTTCTTTAAAAAAAAACCTGGAATTAAGAGTCTAATGATGATTGTTGGGAGGGAAAACCCATCTGGTTCACTAATGTCCTTTAGGGAAGGGAACTGCCATCCTTACCTACATGTGACTCCAGACCCACAGCAATGTGTTGACTCTGAACTATCCGCTGGACAATAAATGCTAGACCGAGCCAGAGACACCCAGACCCCGTGAATAATAAAAACTCCCAGTCTCCCCACTGAGCCCCTACCCTCCCCTTTCTGCTCTCCCCTTCTCTCTCTCTCTCACCCCTCCATAAAGGAGTACGGGGGAAGGGACAGGATGAGGGTCACCTTTAGCCTGAGAAATGTATTAATTTCTGCTTGAAATAAAAGCACAAATGCTGACTATGGTGTAGATTTGAAATAAAAAACAAAGTGGTGGAGAAACCCAGCCAGTCTAGTAGCATCTGTTGAGAATGAAACAGTTAACATTGAGTCCAAAGAATTCCTTGGAACTAAAGAACCATAAAATTATGCTTTTTATTACTGTGAACAGGCCAAAAGATTAAAATGGAAACCACATCAGAGAGAAGAGCAGAACTTCCTCACGGTTGGCATACCCCAGGAGAGAAGTGGCAGTGAATTAAACACCAATAGAAGGAAAATACTGCAGATACTCAAAATTACAATAATACCATTGTTTTCCAGTCCCCTCCAACTCCAAATAAATCATTGAACTCGAAATGTTTCTCTCCACACATGCCACCAGACCTGCTGAGTTTTGCCAGCATTTTATGTTTCTTCCCCCCTAAAATATAGTGCAACTTGGCCTCCACAGGCTCATCACCCTCTAACTGAAAAAAATCTCATCTCAGACCAGAATGGCCTACCCCATATCCTGAGACTGTGACCCCTTGTTCCAGACATCACCAATCAGGGGAAACTTCAGTGCCAGTCTGTCCAGCCCTGTCAGAATATCACAATGTTCCATGGAGGTCCCCTCTCAACCTTCTAAATGCTAGTAAATACAAGCCCAGTTGAACCAAGGCCTCCTCAAAGGTCAATCCTGTCATTCTCAGTATCAGCTTAGTGAGCCTCTGCTGCACACCCTCTATGGCAAATATATCCTTTCTTAGGGAGACTAAAACTGCACAGAATAGTACAGAAGCCTAGCGTAACAAAACTGCAGTAAGATATCCGGGGAGAGAGCAATGGAAAGGGGAGGAGAAAGAGCTCGATGGGGGGGATGCTCAAGTCAGAGTGAAAGGGCACAGTGCGCAGAAGAATAAGTATATAAGATATTCCTGTTTTGAACAAAAACAAAGTTGTTGGAAAAGCCCAGCAGTTCTGGCAGCATCTGTGAAGGAAAAAAATAGAGTTAACGTTTCGGGTCCAGTGGCCCTTCCTCGGAAATGTCACCGGACCCGAAACATTAACTCTGCTTTTTCCTTCACAGATGCTGCCAGACCTGCTGAGCTTTTCCAACAACTTTGTTTTTGTTCCTGATTTACAGCATCCGCAGTTCTTTTGGTTTTTATTCCTGTTTTGAAATTGAGTATTAAAATATAAAAGCAGAGATGATACCTGAAGATTATAAATTGCTGGTTAGACCTCAGCTGTAACAAAGAGGGCAATTCACCTCAGAAAAGATGAAGTTGTATAGGGATGTTCCTGAGGATGATAACAGGATAAGGGACCACAATTTTGAGGAGACATTGGAAAAGGCAGGATGATAATGGAATAGTGTAGGTTAGATGGGCTTCAGATTGGTTTCACAGGTCGGCACAACATCGAGGGCCGAAGGGCCTGTACTGCGCTGTAATGTTCTATGTTCCTTAACACTGACACAGACTACTGACCAAAAGGATCCTGTAGTTTTTTTTGTACAGTGCTTTCAGACTGAGCCTTGTATAATTTTCAGTACTCATCATCACATTGCAAACAAAACACATTGTGACAAAAAAACTGAAAAAATTCTTTGGTTTTTAACTTCAGAGGAGAGGGGGTGGCTTACATGTAAAGGTACTGAATAAACCGAAAACAAAAATTAACCGGGTGCCTGATTTGAAGTTAAACCATGAATGTAAATCAAAAAGATATTGATTCAAATCAGCAAAAGACGATATTTGGAGCTTCTGTAAAGGCAGCAGGAGAGACCTGGGAGTCACATGATGAGACAATTTCAATAATGTCAAGGCAAAAATAACACAATTTCCCAGGGCCAAATGAAATGGACAACAACCTAGTGTGTGTGAGCTGTTAGCATGTGAAGAACAACCTATGAAAAAGGGGCAATCTCACTAGTCTGTTAACGGAGTGGTTGTGGCCTTGCACAGGCACAGGGCTTTATTCCCTTAGTCCTTCAGTTACTGCCTTTCCTTTCCCCAAAGGCACTGACTGACACTTGCCAGTGTACATTTTCTTTTTGAGACAGTACCTCAGCAATTAGCATGCCAAATGGTTCAGTTCTATTCCACCTGAGTGCCAACAGGTTTTGCAATGAAACCTGATCAATTTCTTACTAAGTAAGCTCAGCAGACAATGTGCAGGAATGTGAACATTGTCAAACTTGTTTCTCTACAATCTATTCTAATAAACTCACCATGCATTAGCTAAAGCAGCAACACAGAATTAACTTCATACTGTAAATATTGTAATTTTTTTTTCTTACTATGGAGAATACGTTGATGTACTTGAAGATGTCAGTATTTATTGCCCAGATGGTGAGTTGGCTTCATGATCAGATCAATATGTAGTCTTGTGTGTACAGATAAACAGACTTACATCTTTGTGGCACCTTTCACAACCATGGAAACTTTGGAATGTGGGTGTGGCCAGCTAAGCCAATATTTATTGCCCAATCCCAATTGCCCAGAGGGCAGCTCAGAGTTAACCACAATGCTATAGGCCCAGAGTCACATGTAGGCCCGACCAGGTAAGGATGGTGGATTTCCCTTACTAAATGACATTAACATTACAGCTGGGTCTTTACAACAATTGGCAGTGGTTACACACATTGCCACCAGACCAACACTTCATTCCAATTTTTTAAACTGAATTTCATTTTCACCTTCTGTTATGTTGGGATATGAACCAATGCCCGAACAACATTAGCCAGCTTTTCCGGATTACTGGTTCAGTTACAGTACCACTAGCCCTCCCTTCTGTGGCAATGCAGCCGATTTTCATAGCAAACTGCCAGAAACAGCAATGTGACAAAAACCAGGCACCAATGTTAAACAAGGAATAAACATTGGTCGGAAACCGGAGATAAGCCCACTGCTCTTCGTCAAAATCATGCCAGCTTGTTTTAACATGGTTTAAGGCTTCACTTAATAGACAGTACATTGAACAATGCAGCACTCCCACACTGAAGTGTCAACCAAAAGATTTTAGAACTCAAGTCTGTGGAGTGAGTCTTGAACTCTCAATCTTTTAACTCGGAGGTGAGAGTGCTACACAGCTGACACCAAAACATTACACAATGGATTACCTGCAACACCTAAATGATGGAAGCAATGATGCTTAAGCAACTGGAGAGTGGACCTGGAGATTCGACAAACAATTAAATACTTTTTATTCTCCCTTAACACATGCTGGCCGGCCTGTTGAGCACTTTTAACATTTGCTATCTTTATTCCAGACTTCCAGTACCCACAGTATTTTGCATTTGTTTCCTTTGTGAATAATATCATTTTACTCAGGATTACCAAATGAAAAGGCTACCAAAACAAACTGAATAGTCAAAAGACAGCAATCGTGTCTGTAAGAGAATATCCTGGTAGTTCTATTTGTAAAAGACTCATTCCCAATGTGGGAAACACAGTTGAACACAGAGTCAGGAGACAGGATCCTAGATTTGATACTTGGTCCGTGGTGAATCAGCCAATTTCAGCAGTGACTGATACCAGAGCCCTTCAGCAAAGCAGAGAAAGTTGTCCACAGCTTCCCCCATGCTAATAATTATTTAATTGACTCTTATGGGATGAGGACAGGCTGTTGACATTTACTGTCTTGGGTTTGACGTGCAAGTTTTGGAAATATGTAGTACATGTAGAACCATGCCTCCCTCTGGCAGTATGCTTTGATGAGCAGATTTCTCTCAATCCAGCAGATAATTTGTCACACTTCTTTATGTTGAAATGTAGATATTTTCCAATCAACCTGTTCAGAGACATTATCACAGATCTCTAGAGCAAGTGGGACATGAACCCAGGCCTCTTGGCTCAGAGGTACAGACACTAATCCCTGTACCACAACAACCCCAAAGTTGAAATGTAAAATTGAGCAAAATATCATGAGGACCTGATGTTATTTTGCAAAATTATTGTTATTTTGTATGTATTGGTGGAAGTATTAAACAATTCATGGTTCAACATGGGAAACTGGCAGCACAGTTTAGAACTCATTAGAGCAGCCCTCTTAGGGCACTCTTACCATAAGCAAACCTAAAGTTTAAAAGCCCATCAATGTTAGTAACCTGAAATTTTCTTTGTGACAGATTATAGTTTGGCCTTACTAATGAATCAAACAATGGCTAAGCAAGTAATAAAACTCACTCTTTGGGCAGTAGTAATCTTCACTATTGTAATTAAATGCCAGACAAAGTGGGTACTACCCGAGCCTAATTTTGAAAACTGCACAGTAGCTGTAACAAGGAGCGATAGGACAATGGTACAGTCACTTAAAGTAACACACTCACTATTCCGAAAGATATACTACTCTCATACTGACATGCTGTTAATGTGAACAAGATCTGCTAATAAATGTTGGACAACATTCTGGGGCTTCAGGAAATTTTTTTATTCACGTGATGTGGGTGTCACTAACTTGGCCAGCATTTATTGCCCATCCCTAATTGCCCAGAGGCAATAAGAGTCAAGCACATTGCTGCAGATCGGAGTCACATGTAGGCCAGACCAGGTAAGGATGGCAGTTTCATCCCCTAAAGGACATTAGTGAACCAGATGGGTTTTTCCCACAACAATCGCCAATGGCTTCATGGGCATCCTTAGACTCTTAATTCCAGATATTTTTATTGAATTCAAATTCCAATATCTGCCGTGGCAAGATTCAAATCCCAGCCCTCAGGCTGGACAACAAATAGTTCAATTCAATTCAATTTCTGGATTAACAGTCTAGCGATAATACTTCTAGGGCACTGCCTTTCTGTATCATTGTTTAAAGGCCAAATACCTCCATCTGTTGCAACTTAAGTTGATAATAGTTTGATCAAACAAGAAATAATTTAAGGGGATATTCAGGAAAGTGTCAAGGCCGTAATCATATTGGCCATGATCTCACTGAATGGTGAAGTAGGCTCAAGGTGCTCAGTGGCCTACTCCAGCTCCTAATACATATATCCACATGCTGCAGTGGAAGGGAGAGCTGGTCTCATGTTGCTGTCATATGCATTGTAGCTACCAGTTCTTAACACCAGCAACTGATGTAGGAGAGGAGGCCACTTTTGGCTATGGGACATAGGTGGAACCACTGTGGGAACGTGTGTCTTTACCAGGGAAAGACACAGGAAAGTAGCTAAGTTTCATAATGCAAAGTGGAGTGTGGTGAAGATTACACCCTTCTTTATTAAGAGGCTCTTCATTCTTATGCCAATTAGCACATATAAAAATCTCCTGTTTATGAACAGCAACTTGTATATGACCTATATCACTGCTATTTTACCTCCAGGTTTTCAACAGCTCTTGTGATGACTGCTGTTCACTGCTTCAATTTGATACAAAACAAATAAGCATCTCTGTTCCAACGATGTTACAAGACAAAGCACATGCACAGTGTAAAAACGTACATTCATTAGCTCTGAACAACTGTAATAAATGGCCATAAAACAGTTCATCATAACCCCGGTAAAAGATGAAGATCCAAATAGTCATACCTAAAACACAACGTAATTTACAGAAATTATTCCAATCATTTAAGATTTTCTGCTACTAGCTTGCTTCTCATCAACACAGATACACAATCATATACCAGTTGCATATGAATTCTGAAATAAAAGAAGAAATAATGACAACTAAGCAAGAAACTGCAATGCCTCCAACTGGATACTGATATTTTATGAGCACACTGTGTAATCAAATTATAGTTCCAGTATAATTATTTTCTTCAGAATCATATCATTTCACTGAAAGCTGAATAAGTCTAACATTTTACAAGTTCTGTCACAAGTAATAGTCGCTGAAGGGAAGGGGTGACTGAACAGGTAGAATAATAATGTCTCTGTCATCACCACCAACTTCAACAAGATCCGCAAGAGTTCAAGCTGATGCAAGAAAATATTTTCTAAAAATACAACTTGTTTATGGATCAGGTCACCATCCAACTATTAGTCAAGTGAAATTGGCAAAAGTAAATTCTGATGGAAAATTCTACAAAGTAACTCTAGTGTCCTCCCAAACAAAAGGAAATGAGCATATTGGAAAAATGTCACACTGGCCAGTGAACAGAAATTCTGAGTGACTTTGATGTTAAACCCATCCCTCTGTGCATCCATGGGAAGAAACAATATCTGGTCTTGAGGACGTGAAGAAAGGAAAAATATAATGCCAGCTACAATTAAAGATGGTAGTATCATTTCAGAATTAATTACAATTCTTCTTCCGATCCTTCACAACTGCACACCTAGGGGATGTTTACACTGTATGCAGAATGTTGTTGTGATGTAACGTTTTCAATTCATGTCTTTAGAAAAGGTCACCAAGATCCAGCTGGCGGAATTTATCCAGATTGTAGAAACACGCCTTCACCACTCTGCCACCGAAGTATCTTGTATTCAGGTCAACAACAGCTGAAATAAGAGGTGCAAGATTCAACAATTCCAGCAACTAGACCTTTGTATTATTCAAAAAAAAAACAGCATTGCAGAAAACCATTACCATTGCAGCAAGAGATTTATACAGAATAATTGTCATCATGGAGTTAAAATCACGTCATCTTAGTTAAAAATGGATTCAGCAGACACATGTGAACATTGGTAATAAATATGTACAATATGTAGAAAGAACACAATAAACAATCATCTTCAATTTGGGAAACTGACTCAACTGTTAGTTTTAAAAATGCTAAATTGTAAACTGCAATCAATGTCAAAGGTGCATGAAAATCCAAAAATTTTTTGAACTGAGACCAATGTAACGCTTCACACAACATAACGTTCCATGTTTTTGGGCATGATGGACCTTGGAATCGACAATTTCAGATCATAATCTCTGCTCCCATACTGTGTGCTGGACTTCGGATGACACATGCTAGTAATGATAACGTGTTTTCCCATTAATTCTTCCTTTAAACATATTATTTGTTCTTTGTTCCATCAGCACCCTTCGTTTTGTCTTGCACCATCATCTCTTCTGCCATGCAATCTCTCCTTTCTTTCACCCCATCATTAACCTACCCTTATGTTCTTTTCTTCACTTCCTAACTTCCCTACCTCTGTACTTGCTCAAAATCTGTAACACCTCTCAATATTTTCCCAGTTCTGATGAAAACTCAACAACCTGAAACAGTGACTCTGATTCTCCCTCCACAGATGCTACCAGACCTGCTGAGTATTTCCAGCACACTGTTTATTTTTTAGTTTAAAATAACTCGTTGCGGCATGTTGGTGTAGATACAAACCTGTACGATCTTAAACAAAAATAACATCAAGAATTAAGTATTAACATTACAATCCATTCTCGTCAATCAGCAAATACCGCGGTCTTCATTTGGTGACGAGCTGCATTGTTGAAAATGAAAACTATTCCCTACAGGCCTCTAACCACAGGGTAAAGCTTGTTTCACAGTAAAGATCTTAATTCACCAACATCTCAAATCCAAATTCAGAGGATGACGCTTACTCTAATCTTACTGTATTAAAAGTAATCATATGCCTCAACATACTAATATTTCATAATTGAACTTTTTTCCTGAGTTTCCTCCTCGAAATACTGACCGTGTTTTGGAGTTGTGTTTCACCAATTATCACTCACCATCCCCTATTTCATGCATTAGTGTGTTCACAGTGAACATAAAATATTGGAGCAGGAGCCAACCGAACTGCTCACCATTCAATACAATCACAACTGATCTCAACTTGAACTCCATGTTCCCGCTCAGCCTCCATATCCTTCAATTCCTGGAAGACCAAAGCTCTGTCTCTCCCAGCTTTCAATATATTCAACAGTAGAGCAGCCACAACCCTCTAGGATAGAGAATTCCATAGACTGATAACCCTTTGAGTAAAGCACTTTTTCTGATCTCAGTTCTAAATGATCAGCTTCCCATCCTGAAGCTGTGTCACTGCATTTTAGATTATCCAACCAGAGGAAACAATCTCTCAATGGCTACACTATCAAGCTCCATTCAGAACGCTGTAATGAGATCACCTCCCATTCTTCTAAACTGCAGAGAATTTTGGCCAAATTTACGCACCTTCTTTATTCGTTGCATTATGCATTCATAGATCAACAAAACTGTACATGTACCAGACATTCATATTTTCCGAACCGAGTGCAAACACTCGCCAGCATGGCCCACAGCCACAATAGCGTTCCTCACACTGTACAACTTGATGAGGTGCTGAATGAACCCAGCAGCTGCAGGTTTAAAAGTGTTGTATTCCAGTAGAGGGTGACATGCATATCAGGATTATCCTGAACAGTACAGCTAGTCAACCATAGCAACATCATAGCCAATTCAAATCATGATCTCTTGCACACTTCCTCCAAGAGTTACGGGATTAAGATTGCCTTCTCTTCCCCTAGTCAGTAAATGCCACCAAATACTTTTACTCTTACTCTGGCTAAGATTTGCAGAGTATTGATCAGAGATAAAAACTGTGACACTGTTTGTCTATCTGGCTCATGTATTCACAGAAGATAAACTGGAATTCCCTAGGTAAGTTTTCATTAATGAAAATAAATTATCATTGTATTGTTACCTTTAATTGCAGATTCTACCCTCTCAAATTCGACAAATATCCTGACTGCCTCATCATCCGGTGCCCCAGGAATCTGCAAAATTAAACAAAGGTATTGATTGTGTGAAATAACAAAACCTACGGGACACAGAAGTCAAGAAGTAGCTGCAGGACAATAGCAATAGATCTCTGGATATTGTAAACCAGGTGTATATTTCAAGCAGCTAAAACCAGGTCACTGTCTTCCAAAGGCAACAGATGGCAGCATGCCACCAGAATATTTGCATATTTTAGTACATTTACACTCATTCCACTGATTCACATTACGGTACAGTGATTAAAGGTGTCTAATATAGAAATATCATTTTTAGAATTTGGATTTCGAACTAGTGAGCTTTGGTTAATTTTGTGAAGGGTTTTAAAAATAACTAGGCCAGTCAGTCTTTCCAGAACCATAATCTAATCCAATATGTGCATTAATGGAAGATTGTTGGTGCTGTACGGAGTTTATGACTAAGAGTGTAAACATTGAAGTCCACTAGCTTGTTTTTGGTTCATAATAATCAAGGAAACCCAGATATTGAATGTTTTGAGCAATTTTTGGGGGAGACCTGATTGGGATTTGAAGTAGTGTATATTTTCACTCCTAGAAAGGAGTACAAAACAGCTCAGGAAATTAATTACCTTAGTAGAAAGTAAGTTTGAGTAATTTCCAGACCATGAGTGTTTGGTTAGACACCTGCAGATTATTAAAAGACTTAGAAAGTGTAAGCTTTCAGTTTTGAAGGTATCCATGTAAGAAAACTCCACAGTTGACAGTAAACAACTGAAAACAATCAGTTGAGTCAAACTTAAAGGTTTGAGATGGATGGGTAATCTTTCTGGATTTGACACTGTAAAGTGATGGGGATGGGGAATAGCTGAACAGTGTGCTTTGTTGTGTGCTTAAGTACTCTTTTAAAAGTGTTCTAATTTAGATGGCTTGCTTGTTCTTTGCAATTTAACCTTTTTCCTTTTATGCACCAAATGTCTCATATCAGTTAAGAGATTCTGGAGCTGTTTATGCTTACATTTCAGTGAATGACCACCACATTAACAGAAAAAAAAAACAAATCAAACCAGGTTTCATTTTGTGATCTGGCTTGTCCATTAGTACCATCAGCTGGAACCACAGCAACATGCACACAGACTCCCAGGACAACTGGACAGTTTTTAAGAGCAGCAATAAGATTAAAGAGTCCAAACGTCAAGTTTAAAAGTTACATCTCTACATCTTTCCACCCTACTCCTTGAGGTAGGACCTTGAGCCATTAGTTGTGTAACTGTCATACTTTGAGTCACTTGTTAAAAGTATTCAAAAGATGTTTCCTCCTCATAAACATCCTGCTCGTTAAAAGCTTTTCAAAGGAAATGAGCAGGGAAAGCAGACAGCCAGTGTTCTGACACACAGATGCTGCACTCAGTCACCATTATCCTTATACTCCCAAACAGCAGTTAAGATACGCTCAGTTAGATCTGTCCAAGAAATTCTGAACAGGCACCAATCCATGGAGAGCACAGCAGAATTTTTATGTCCATCTAAAAACCCCAAACTACGACACCTTCGATATCTGCGTCTGTCACCTCAGCCCTTATTTTTTTTAATCTTGGTCTTTCAGCAAACATGATACACTCTGGGACCTAACTGGGTCAATATATTGTGATTGTATATTGTATGATTTGTATAGTTTTAAAATATCATTTATTTGAGTGTTTGGATTTTTAAATTTGAACTGTGAGAACAAAAATGGGTTTGGCATATGGGTTTTCGGTGTATCTGAGGGAATTTAACGATTAACATGGATGCAATTCTGTAGATGATTTATTTATTAAAAAGTCTGAGAGGGTTTGCCTTGGAGACTAATGGGTTATTGCTTACATTGGCAGAATTTTACAAGCAAGCAAAGTAAACAGTGTAACGCATTATGCTTTCAGGCATAAGATTTAGAATTTTTGAGGGGCTTAGGGGAGAAACACATTGCTTGAAAAATGTTTTTTTTATAGTTACAGGGCAAGTCTGCAGGGTACTTGGCTTAGGCTGGGATGTGTAAAGTAGTTGCTCCTGAGAAAGGACAAAGTTAATTTATAATTGTAAAATTAGGTTGGGAGACTAGTTTAAAAGTCCCAGACCAGAAATATTTAGTTAAAACCCTGATGGGGTTGTGCGAAGCTGAGCAAATTTAAGCTGAGTTACATGTTCACTTTGGAAGGGAGGACAAAAGAACAGAATACTTAAACAGAGAAAAACTGCAGAAAACTGCAACACAATGGGATTTGTGCACAAAACACAGGAAGCCAGAACACAGGAGCAGCAGGTAATCAGGAAGATGAATGGTGTGTTAGCCATTATTTCAAGGGGATTGCAGTATAAGTGTAAGGAAGTCTTACTGCAACTATACAAAGTGCTGGTGAGACCACATCTGGAGTATTGAGAGCAATTTTGGTTCTTTTATTTATGAAAGATATCATTTCATTAGAGTTCAGAAAAGGTTCAAAACGACAATTCCTAGTATGTTGAAATTGTCTTATAAGCAAAGGTTAAACAGGGTGGGACTCCACTCAGTGGAGTTTAAAGGATGAGAGGTGATCTTATTGAAACATGTAAGATTCTTAAGGCCTTGACAGGACGAATGCTGACAGAATGTTTCTCCCCATGGGGGAGTCTAGGACCAAAGGGCGTAGTCTCAGAATAAATGGGTGCCAATTTAAGTCTGAGATGAGAAGGAGTTTCTTCTCTCAGAGGGTTGAGTGTCTTTGGAACTCCTTGCCACAGAGAGTTGTGGGGACAGAGTCCTGTGCATATTTAACATTGAAATAGACAAGATTCTTAACCAGTAGGAGAATCATGGGTTATGAGGAAAACTGAGGACTATTCAGAGAGGGAAGGTGATGGCCTAGTGGTATTATCGCTGAACTGTTAATCCAGAGACCCAGGTAACGTTCTGGGGACCTGGGTTCAAATCATGGCAGGTGCTGGAATTTGAATTCAATAAAATATCTGGAAAAAGGAACCACGAATTGTCAATTGTTGGGGAAAAACCCATCTGGTTCACTAATGTTCTTTAGGGAAGGAAACTGCCTTCCTTACCTGGTCTGGCCTACATGTGACTCCAGACCCACAGCAATGTGTTGACTCTGAACTATCCACTGGGCAATTAGGGATGGGGATTAAATGCTGCCTAGCCAGCAACACCCTCATACCGTTAATGAATAAAGAAAGAAAAAAAGATCAGCCATGATCCTATCGAATAGTGGAGCAGGTTCAAGAGGGCGAATGGCCTGCTCCTGTTCCTATTTCTTATGGTCTTATGATGAATCAAGGAAGAGGTTAAGGGAAGAAGTTATCAGGTTCTCACAATCAGGAAATGCAGCCACAACCAAGTTAGACACTGTGTGGGATAGAGAAGGGCATTCTCTCTGCTGTCTGAGTACAGTAATGGGATGATGTTGGGATTAATGAAATTATAGTTTTACTGTGTTTCAAAATTTTTAAATGCTTGTTATATGTAAATAGATTAGTTTATTCTATTTTATCTTCACCTCTTTTGCATAATAAACTTCTGTTTTATTGTTAAATTTAAATCTGATATGTCCATAAATGACATCAGCTGGAATCATAATAGTATCAGAGATAGTAGGAACTGCAGATGCTGGAGAATCTGAGATAACAAGGTGTAGAGCTGGATGAACGCAGCAGGCCAAGCAGCATCAGAGGAGCAGGAAGGCTGACGTTTCAGGCCTAG